CTCCACTACAGAAGGATCAGAACTATCAGCACGGGGTTCTAGGGTGGGTGCGCTCCACTACAGAAGGATCAGAACTATCAACACGGGGTTCTAGGGTGTGTACACTCCACTACAGAAGGCAGAAGCAGCAATGTAATAAACAGATCCCAAATCCTGCTCGACAGCCGCTGGATGAGCAGACTCTCAGTCTAAGACAAACACACTGAGTGAGCTATGGAAATTTCCTGCTGTACAAATTAGCATGAGGTTTGTGATTCTGCTGGCAACATTTCGTGCCATGAGTTCCACGTGACATGTCAACTCTGCAAACGTTCATGCACATATGCAAATGTGGCTATGTATTATCATTTATGACATTCAGAGGATTTGAGAGAATATTTCTTATAATATTTGTCTTTCCCAGGAAGCAGACCTGGCACATACAGGATATTATTATATGATAAATTATCATACTAGCTTCCACATGAGCTTCCTTTTCTACACACACTCCTCAGAAACGGAGTAAAATTTCACATACAGGGGACAGGCTACTGTCTGTCATTCTCTGGGCTGGCTCCTGGCTGGCCTGTGTCACAGCTGCCCAGAGTCCCAAACCTCGCCCCACACGAGAGAGCTCTTCATACAGTGTCTTAAGTTGGAAAAAGTGAGCTGAACACAAGTGTCTGCTACCCTTCAAAAGGCCACCGTCATTGTTATCCATCAAGTACCCTGAAAAGTAGAGGAAAGAGACACAGTGTGAGCCATATCCCATACTGCCCCAGGAAGGTGCTGGAAAACAAGACACAGCCACCATGAAGCTGAGCCACGACAGGAGTCTATTTGTGGCTTGCTACAAAGTTAAGGGGGTGTGTATTTCCTGACTTTTTCTTTTTCGCTGTAAGGGAAAAATAAAAAATAAAACCTCATTTTCTAAACTGTGTACAGAGTCATTTAGTGTTGATCACCACATCTCAATATAGAACTTTCCGTGGAGTAAGAAGAAAAAATATTTTTTTAAAAAAAATTTAAAAAACAGAGATTGTCTCATTTTGCCAAACTCTTAATAGAGAAGTACTTTCGGTTTTTAGTTTAGAAGGCAATGTTATATGCAGTTTGTATCATGCAATCAATAATTGATCTTAAACATTTCTTTCTAAATATTGAAATATTATGGCTGGAGACATAGCTCAGGGGTTCAGTGCTTGCCTGACATGTGGGAGGCCCCGGGTTTGATCCCTACTATAAACAAACAAATAAACATTAAAATAACAATTTTATAAATCAGTAGCCATTTAAAAAAGAATTTGATAGACAGTAAACACAAGGGATAGGGCTTTATTCCAGGTATCACTATAGTCTTTTTGTGCCATCTGACAAGCATTGTGCCTAAGAGGCAAAGGTACTTTCACCACAGAATACTTAGTTCAAAGATGCATCATTTCAAAATTCTGAAAACATGGCCTTGACTATGCACCTTAGAAAGAGAACTTCCATCAAACCCTGACTCTTCAGCAATAAAAAGCAATCCCAGGGATGTGGAGAGTCCACCTGCTTGCAAGGACCTCCTTTTTTGATCACTAGAGGCTTTGTTGAGTATCATACATCCCCCACACACACTTTCCAGGTTCCTGCTTCTCTTTCCTGTTAGCTTGTTGCCACAGGGTGTAGGTGGTAAACAGGAAATCATCTAACTAGACATCTTCACCCTGGGGTGGGGTTCTAATTATAGCCATTGTGGATGTCTTCCAGGGAAGAAAACAGGGTCAGAGGCGAGCCTTCATTGACCTAAGCAGGAAGCCAGTCCTCCTGTCCCAAGATAAAGTTTTAATCAGTGCATCCGGGTGCTTATGATGAAAGCTATCCATGTGGTTTCTTACCCTAAAGACTGTGGAGAGTTTCCTAGTGGGTGCAGGAACTGGGGCTTCGGGGGAAGAGGAGGTCTTTTGGGCTTCTGTGGACCAGCCAAAGGGTTCTGCAGCCCCTCTCCGCTCCTTCCCCTTTGGGACAGCCTCTTGTAGTCTTCCCGTGCTTGCTTGGCTAAGGAACGTCTCTTCTCGTCAGCTGCCTTGGATTTCCGCACTAGAAAGAGAATGTATCCGAGGAAGTCCATCAGGCTGGCCGAAGGTCACACTCAGAGCCCACAGACACAGGAGATTCAGCCCTGCGGAGCGGTTCTCTGGGAAGACTCCTGGCAGAGCTGGCCCTGTGCTCACATAAACAAATCGCTCCCTGTACCTAGTATCACCTTTGGAAGGTTCTCCTAGGCCCGATGAGGCATTCCTATCTGCAGCATTCCTTTCTGCGTTTAGAAATGAGGACTTTGGGAGAAGGAGGAAAGAAAGACAAAGAAGGAGGGAAGTAGACATGGAAAGTGTGTAGCAAGATTGTTAATTCACTTAGCAGGACTAAGCTGTGAGACCTGGTCAGATAGACTAGGAACACAGACGTCAGAGCCACATGTGTGATACACACACGGTCAGGATGCAGTCTGCATCCCAAGTCTCCAGCAGAGACTAGGAAGCCAGAATTCTCCATAACAGGTGGACTAGGAAAAGAGCAGCTTGTCACACCCAGAGCCCACCATAGGCTTAGCTGAATGGATAGGCCAAAAAGACAGAAAGTAAGGGAATTACTAACCATAAACATGCTGTTGATAACTTCAGAACACCTTAGTACAAAACACTTCCCAGTATGCCTTTGAACACTATTAACTTTCTAAAATAGAGGGGATTGTCATGTTTTAGCCATATAGTGTGAAAGATTAATGCAGGATAAAATAATTGTTTTTTTTCTTTTTTATGGGGGAGGGCAGGTTTCAAGACAGGGCTTCTCTGTAGCTTTGGCTGTTCTAGAACTTGCTCTGTAGATCAGACTGACCTCGAACTCACAGTGATGCTTCCCAAATGTTGGGGTTAAAGGTGTCTATCACTACTGCCCAACTTCAAAATTTGGGGTCTTGTTTTGTTTTGTTGTGATAACCATTTTCATTGAGTTTTTTTTAATATCTGGCATCATGGATTAAATACTGTCATGTTTGACATTGAAGACATACTAAAAATATTCCATCATGCCAGAGTTTCAGTGCTTAGCACAAAAAGGCCACATATTAAATCTTGCAAACACTTTTGCTTCACAATTTTTTAAACATAGTGGAATGTAATGGAACTGCAGATCAATTCAGGATTCTTAGCATCCTGAAAATCACGCTGCTTAGGCTCTGTCTTGCTCCCTGTCTCGAGCAACTATCAGGCAGTCGAGTCTTCTCTGTGGATGCCAAGCGAAGAGTAATTCACTCTTAGGTCCTGGTTGCCATCTCTGCCTGTCCTGTCTTCCTTAACTGGCCCTAGCAGTCCAAACTCAAAAGAGAGTCAATGCTGAGTCAGAGGCCGGGAGTCACGACACTGATGCCAGGATATCCCCCTGTCAATTTTGCATACATTGTATTACAAAGTTGTATGGTAGGCATATGGTAGTGTTCCCCAGGACAACTGAGATATGTCAGTTAAAGAAAGAGACTGCTCTCAAAAATAAGCACTATGGAGAACTTGGGAAGAAAACCAAAACAGAAAAACAAGGAGTAAAATTCAAATAAAATAATTTAAAAATCCAGCTTCTCAAAGAAAAAGTTCACCTGTAGATAACCACCCTGCTCTCGCCTTCATAATTAAGGATTTTTAAATAGTGGCATTTTAAACTATTTATGATTTTTCTTCTCCAAGAAAGAGACATATTTTAATGTCATTGAACCTTCTTCTGTGGGATAATTTCATAGCTATACACCCTTCCACCGTACAGAAGCATGATTTAATGATACGGAGATGAATGGAAAGCCAGTCGGCTACTCAGGCATCTGAGTAATTGTCACCTCGTGACAACCTCTGAGTGATGATTCAGCGGAAGACACTTCTCAAGGATGCGCTTTCTGCCCCTCCTGGATGAGTCATCTAAGTGGAAGGTCCAGTTAGAGTCCGGATGGCGCTTCTGAGACCCCAGACCCCGGTACTCACAAGATGCCTGCCACTCGGAATCCTCTTTCCAGCTCTTGTATATCTGCTTGGTTTTCTCATCCTCTGTTTGTTTTGTTTCTTCGCCTTCTTTGTTCTTGATAGGTTCTTTAGTCTGAAAATAAAAACAGAGGTGGGAAGTAGTGAAGGAATGTGGCAGTGTCTTCGGGAGGACAAGGCGCCCACCCTGGCTCTGTTTAGCTCTCTCTGGCCCACTCGGGAGGTTCTTCTTGTCAGCAATGCCTGAAGCAAGAGCTTCAGCTACCTCAGTGTGGGAGTCTAGACTCTGCTCCTGACCTCCTCGTGGGCTGTTTCCCCAGAAGTGAGAAAGCACGCTACATAGAGTTCCTGCGAACATCCATGTTTTAGGAGTTAGCACAATGCACAGCACATAAGACCTTTCCAAGCAGTCCTTCCCCAGACGGGACACTTAGCTATTCCAAATATATGTTTCTGAAGTGAAAGAACCAGCGTACACACTGACCTGCTGTAGCTAACAGGCTCCCAAGAGCAATCTCAGCTGAGTGGGGCTTAAATGTCCTCCAACCGTGTATCCAAATAAAAGAATGTGATGTATAATTTGGGGTACTCGAAAAGGGAATGAGGTGCTTTTTATTTTCTTAAAAACACACAAAAATATCACCTTTGAAAAGGGAAATACAAAGATTGGAGAGGTGGCTCAGAGAGCACTGCCTGCTCTTTCAAAGATCCTGAGTTCAATTCCTAGCAACCGCACAGTGGCTCACAACCATCTGTGATGAGATCTGGTGCCCTCTTCTGGCCTGCAGGCATACATGCAGACAGAACACTATATTTAATAAATAAATCTAGAAAAAAAAAAAGAAAGAAAGAAAAAGGGAAAGACACTACAGAGTTACTTCGAGTTCAGCACAATTTTGTAAAAGCGTATCTCAAAATTAAAAGAGGGTCACGGACACAGCTCGGGCCTAGACCAGCTTTGCGCAAGCTCCAGTCCTGGCTCACCTAGCATGTGCCACAGAACAAGCAGGTGAAGAGGAGGTCCACAGAAATGGCAATGATGACTCTCCAGCTACAAAGGTGGATTAAAGTGTTTGAGGACCTGCGTTGCAATCCCCAGTGTCCATGTAGCAGCTGGGCCTGGGGGCAGGTGCCTGGAACCCTAGCACTGGCAGGGTAGAGACAGCCGGACACTGGGGGCAAACAGCATGTCCTAGGTTCAGGGCGAGACCAAGTCTCAAACAACGTGCAAAGCCATAGAGGAAGACTCTAGTGCCTTCCTTGGATCTCTATATGCTCGTATATTGGCAAGTGCACCCTCTCCCAGATAGATATAGCTTACACACCACCCTATCCCCAAATGTGCGCAGAGATTTCCTTGCCATGAAAGCATTTTACCACGATTAAAATGCAGATCCTGATGGAAGCCTGGGTTTCAATCACAGTAGGGAACCATAAACCTCCACCCAGGTAGCCACACTCTCAAACTGTGTTTTACTCTGAGCACATCTTCTACCTTTACTTTTCTCTTACACTGTTTTCCTGCCTGGAGCCAAGCGCCTATTGTTTGCGGCACAGTGTTTTATAAAATCCAAAGAACAGCTTTTGGTTTTTGAAACGGCTACTAAAAATTGCCTTCTTTTACTGAAGCCGCTTACGGGCCTGAAGTACGTAAAGGTACTGTTTGTGATTTCCAAACTTGAACAGAAAGAAAAACAAAAACCCTTGAAGGAGGGACTCTGCTTATTTGGCACAACTTTTCTCGGGGAGATGGGAGCAAGCTAGGAAAGTCACATTCTCCTCAAGTCCGGACTGAGGAAACAGTGAGGGTGCTGGGACGCTCACAGGAGCACAGGCAACAGAAAGGCAAACACATCACCAAGCCCACTCCAGCACGGTGACCGCTCGTAGAAGCTCTACCCCTGGAACCGTTGGCCCGACTTGCACGCGGAGCCACTGACAAGCTTCCTCCACCCCACCAATTATTTACTGCTTATCTATCAGTAGCACAAACTGACTGCTTCGCACTGCTGCCTCAGACTGCAGCCGTCTCCACCAAGCTTCAGACTACAGAGAACTCCTGTCTCCTCCAGCCTTATAGTCCTCTCTACCCAGCCATAACATTCCTGTCTTCACATCCCTAGTGCTGGGATTAAAGGCGTGGGATTTCAAGATCTGGGATCACCTTTGTGTGAGCTCTGTTTCTCTTTTAGACTAGATCCATTTTGTGTAGCCCAAGGTGGCCTTGAACTAACAGAGATCCCTCTGCCTCTGTCTCCTGAGTCCTGGGATTAAAGGTGTGAGCCACCACTTCCTGGCCTCTAGTGGCTTAGCTCTGCACTCTGATCTTCAGGCAAGCTTTATTTGTTAAAACACAAACAAAAAGCCACTACATCTAATTCTGGATAGGGGAGCAGTACTTGTAGCTTCTCTTAACTTCTCCATTCTGCCTCTTCCCTTTCTCCTCCCTCCTGGATGGAATGTCTTAGCAGAGGAACCAGCTATGCAATGCATGCATATGCAGTTATTGAATCTCTCTGTCTCTTGTTCCTGTCTCTGTGTCTCTCTGTGTGTTTATATGTGATATGTGGGGGTTCATCTGTGTAGGAGTGAGAGAGCATCTGCAGGCTATTTTTCAATATCAAGTGTGTTCTTCCATCATTTTCCCCCATCTACTTTTTGAGACAAGTTCTTTCACTGAGCATGGAGCTCCTTGATTGTCCAGATCTGATTGGCCAGCAAGCCCCAGCTATCGACCAGTTTCTGCCTGTCTAGTTCTGAGATTATAGGCATGCACGACTACACTCATGCTTTTACCCAGGGGTCAGAATTTAGATCCTCATAATTGCATAGCAAGTAGTTTACCAACGGAGCTACCACCCAAGGCCCTGTATTTATTTTTAAATAACCTCAAAACACAATAAGACACCAAATTAGGACGTTCATGCACTCTGCTGTTCAGTAGGAACAAAAAGCTGGGCAATGTATTTTACTTTTATGTATGTGTATGCATGTGCACACGTGTGTGCAGGTGCCCTTGTTGGACTGAAGAGGATATTGAAGTCCCTGGAGTCCGAGGAGGTTGTGAGCTGCATGATGTTGGTGTTTGGTGGGAATCAAACTCAGGTCCTCCTCAAGAGCATAGAGTTCACTTCAGTCAACCCCCCAGTGTCCCCTGCCCAGGTCATTGTTTTTCAAGACTTTTCAAAAGTTAGTTCACTGAAGGAAAAATATTAAGAAAATAACTCAGAGAGTACTGACTTGATGGGAGATAATCAGATGTCTGAGAATGCTATTTTTAGTAAACTCAATTCTTTCTCCTCTACAGTGTAATTATATGGCACAGTAGGGAAGAAGATAAAATGAATCAGCCTCACAAGATAATTGCAGGTGAGATCTGGCCCTAGCCTTTCTGTTTATTCAAAGAAGCCAGGAAAGTAAAGAACTCTTTCTAAGCTAATGTCTCCGAAGCCAAGCCTTGGGTCATTACTTTCGTTCTATGGAATCTGGAGGGTGACCTTCTCATTCATTCTCCCAAAATCGTGATGTGGGATTCCTCTCTGTATGCTGTGAATATCATTGGTTAATAAAGAAACTGCTTTGAGCCTATAGCAGGGCAGAACAGAGCTAGGTGGGGAAAACTAAACTGAATGCTGGGAGAAAGAAGGTAGAGTCAGGAAGAAGCCATGGAGCCCCTCCAGAGACAGATGCCAGATGGAACTTTATCCGGTATGCCACAGCCATGTGGCGATACACAGATAAATAGAAATGGATTAAATTAAGAAATAAGAGTTAGCCAATAAGAAGCTAGAGCTAATATGCCAAGTAGTGATTTAAATGATATAGTTTCTGAGAGATTATTGCGGGAGTCTGGGCAGCCAGGAATAAACAAGTGGCCTCCTACTACAAACCAGCTGCCATCATGCTTTGACCATGTCAAGCAAGCTTTCTCCTCCATTTCTTTGTGCCTGGAATTCCCTCTGCCTGGACCACACTTCCCTCTCATCCACCCACACTGCCTCTCCTGGGCTCTTCTCCAGCATCACCTCCTCAGAATGGTCTTCTCCAACCACCACCACCTCCCAGCATCCTCCAGCCTCTACATTCTGCCTTATTTTCTCCGTATTTCTTATGATCACCAGACTTCACTGATAAATTTATCTTTTTTTTTCACCCCACTTACAGAACATAAGCTCCCTGAAGGGAAGAAATTTTGCCTAATTTTATCATAAAATATGTCTTCAATGTCCACACCCATACCTGGCATATAGCAGGCATTCGGAAAATATTTGTTTAATGAATATATGGCTTGATTTTTGTGACTTTCAACATTTAAGCTGATATAACGTAATTAGGGACAGGGGTGCTGGAAGTTCTCCCACTGATTTCCTGCTTGTGTCTAGGACCTCAGTGACAACTCAGAGAATCTGCAGATACTTGGGCCTCTCATATAAGGAAGCACAGTGTTTGCAGTTAGCCTATATGCTTCCTTGTGTTTACATCAAATCACCTATCACAATGCAAATATTTATTGAACATGGTCAAAACAAATGCAGTGTTTTCAAATACTTGTGATGCATGGTTGATTGAATCCATAGATGTAGGATGGAGACTACCTTTCACTGTCAACACACGAGGACCAACATT